CTGATCCTGATGCGTTTACACACACACACACGCGCGCGCGCGCACACACACACGCACACACACACACACATACACAAATAGCTTACTCAGATTTTAAGACAATGTATTATGATTAATGATTGAATGACTGAACGGCCAAAATTCCAAGAAACTCTGGAGGAAACGTTGGATAGCATATTGATGCAATGACATTATTCGATCTGTACTGTAACATCTAAAACTAATCATGAAAAGAACATTCTGAAAGCAAGTCATATAATCATAATGTTGCCTTATTTCTTGGTTTCTGTGGGGTCTTATTCTTAAAATATCTTAAAGGCTAAACTTTCAGGCCTTAAAAAATCTTAAATTTACTGAAATATTATTTTGAAGTTCTTAATTTTTTTAACAAGTTTAAATTTTCCTTTGTTTGTGTATTGCTACGCAATCTGGCCAAACAATCACCAACTCAACATTTCAATAAAACTTAAAAAACTTAAACTTTTTATTTAAAAAGGATATTTTTGTTCTATTTATAATAATGGTTTAATTGTTTTCCTTACAATAACATTTGTTTAAAAGTGCTCCATTTATTTACTGCTGAGGACAATATTTAAAATATTTTGCTAAGAATTAACAACAAATTTTTAGGGTTAATATATACTGTATTATTGTATTATTAAATGTATTAAATTATGAAAAAAATCATAGTGCAAATAAAAATATTTTCTGTCTGGGCCATTTGAAAAAGTTCCTTAGCCTTTAGGCCTTCATGGGTCTATAATTTCATTCATAATGGTCTTAAAAATATCTTTAAAAGTGTTAAATTTAACTTGGTGAAACCTGCAGACACCCTGTATTTAGATATTTTTAATTAGTGATGTCCATGTTAACGCAATCAGTAGTTGCAAGGTTTCAACATTCTTCAAAATATCTTTGTCTTCAACAAAAAAATAAATAAAAAATGAATATCTCAAAGTACTGTAATTGTGTAAATAATTGCAAAATTTCCCTTCAACTATCCCTTTAATATCTCTAAATATCCCTTTAACGTAAACTTTCTAGAACCCTTGATTTTTTTTTTTTATCTACACCTTTCAGATGCCATATTTTTGTTGTAATAAATCAAGTCTTGGTCGTTTATTCTTGTAGTTTACACTGCACCCACAAGTCGTTTCAGTCACTAATAACTGCATTTATTATTCGTATTAATTAATTACATTTGAATTTCTGATGAACAAACCAATTTTGGATTGGTTTTCTAATCGAGCGACCATGTGATATGAGGTTACGAGTCATTTCTATATTTGTCAGTCATTTTGCAGCTTTCAAAAGACGTGTTGCCAGGTCCTCAAGGGATGCTACATTAAGCATCCTTATCATATTTCTACCAACACTACAGTTTACAGTTAAATGGTTTGTGTGTTTGGTTTAAGGGTTTGGGCGAAATTATGGGCTAACATGCATAGTATATTTTGCCATGAAGATGTTTTTAAATGGAAGATTGTAGAATCTGAGGCGTAGCAGAAATTGCAAGAGCATGAAACCCTGTTTAAACACACTGAACACCTTTTATACAGAAACATATTTCATAGCTCTTATTAGCCAGCAGTACCTACTGTACATTTGTTATGCTTTAACTGGTGATTAAATATAATATGCTATACAACAGAATTGTTGACTGATTGACTTTGATTGACCCAATTTCAAGCTGATAGAAAGGCAACAGTAACCAGCTGCTCGTTAATGCAAATTTCGAATCAGCCAATCACATGGCAGCAACTCAATGCATTTAGGCATGTAGACATGGGCTGCGTCCGAAACCGCCAACTACTCAGTAGGTACTGCATTTGAATTTAAACGTACAACTCGGCCGTTGGAAAAGTACTTTCTATACAGTATGAATGTGCAAAGTATGAATGGAATTCGGACGTACTACATCGCCATTATGACATAGTCACGTGACGTACTTGCATAATTTGCGTCGCTTTACTCTTATTCATGAACTCACTCGCGGGGCATCATGAGAAAGCGCAGCATGCATGGGATGTGCACTCCAGAATCTCGCCGGAAGTAGTAGGTCATCCAGGTACTTCTCGCATACTGTTTTTCAAATTCTATGAATTCGGACATACTACTCAGCTCACATACTGATTTTAAGGTACTATATAGTATGGAAATATGCGGTTTTGGACGCAGCCATGGTCAAGACCATCTGCTGCAGTTCAAACCTTGCCTTGTTGATGCCAGAGGTCAAAGGAGAATCGCAAGACTGATTTGAGCTGATGGAAAGGCAACAGTAACTTAAATAACCACTCGGTTATGCAGTAGAATATCTCCGAACACACAACACATCCAACCTTGAGGCGGATGGGCTACAGCATCAGAGGACCACACCGGGTGCCACTCATGTCAGCTAAGAACAGGAAACTGAGGATACAATTCACACAGGATAAAGATTGTTAAAACTTTGCCTGGTCTGATGGGTCTCAATTTCTGCTGCGACATTCTGATGGTAGGGTCAGAATTTGGCATCAACAACATGAAAGCATGAATCC